AAAAAAAAAAAAAAAAAGAGTAAATCCAAAACAATCCTATCAACCATTCAAAATACACAACATTAAGCGCAAAGACCGGAGTTCGATCACTGGTACCAAAAAAATCAAAAGAAAAAAAAAACAAAAAACAAAACTATACAAAATACACAACATTCTCTAAGATATGTGAATGTTGCGTATTTGCTATATCTGATAATATTATACAAAATAAAGACCTTCAGATCTCCTGAAGAAGTTTTTCTACAACATTGGTTTTGTTAGTTCTTTCTATGAGAACTATTTATTGACCCTTAGTAACTGGGCACATGATCTCATCATTTGGGACAGAAAAGACTGGGACAAAAAACTTTGGAGTTCTATTTTCACAATGTTCCAGTTAAGATGACTATTCACCAAATGGGTGATGTGTGAATATAGAACCCCAAGATTCAAGAGAAAGGTTAGGACTAGAAATATAAAAAATCTGGGAGGTATCAGCAAATTAATAGTATTAAAACAATAACTGAGATCATCTGAAGACATAATATACAGCGGTAGATCTCAACCCCGGCTTCACATTCGGTCCCATGGGATACTTTTAAAAATTGATTCCCTATCCTAGCCAATAAATCAGAATCTTGGGGAAGGGTAATACATCTATATTTTTTTAAAGCTCCCAAGGAAATTCACAGATTTTATGTTTAATTATGGAAAATTTCAAACATATACAACAGCAGAGATATAATATCATAAAAAAGTGTATCCATCACCCAGCTTCAACAATTATCAACTCATAAGCATTTTCATCTCTACCCCACCTATTTACTCCTCTGTTCCTCTTCCCTCAGTCCTGATAAAGATTATGAAGGACATCTCAAATATATTTATACCAAAAACGGTTTAATTCCTTAATATTACCAAATATCTACTCAGTGTTCAAATGTCCTAATTGTCACTTCTGCTGTTACTGTTTTACAAAATTTTATCAGGATTCAAACATTTAGCAAGTACATCTCTTAAATCACTGTTAAGATTATCCTTTCCTCTTTTTTCTTATAATTTCCCAATGAACTTTGTTGATTACAGCCCTGTGGGATCACTTAACAATATGTCTTCTGTTTATTTTATTTTATTTATTTATTTATTTTTTGGTACCGGGTATTGAACTCAGGTCCTTGTGCTTGCATGGCAGGTGGCAGAACCACTGAGCTAAATCCCTGGCCCACTTCAGTTTCTTTTAGTAAGCTGATAGTAAGATACTTGGTTAGCTTCAGGAATTTTTTTTGTAAAAATACTTCACAGGAGTTATCTCTGGCAGGGCCGGGGATTTAGCTCAGTGGTTCTGTCGCCTGGCCTGCCTTGCAAGCCCAAGGACCCAAGTTTGATCCCCGGTACCAAAAACAAAAACAAAAAAACAAACAAACAAAGAGTTATCTCTGGCAATCTTTTTGTGAGGTTAAGATGGAGTGATGGATTCAGGTATTGCCAGACTATTCACCCACTACAAAGTTCCTCAACAGTTTTTATCTAATCCTTAGAGCAGTCATTGGTGATCATTGATCATTGATGAGCCTTTATTTCATCAGTGGTTATCAATACTACTATTCTTATTTTGTCATTCCTTCTTCATGTACTAACAGAAATACATCTATAAGGAAAAGTCCCTGGTGATTCTAATGTACAACCATGATTGAGTACAGATAGACACGTATGTACCTGATATAGACTGAATGTCTCTTTCAAAACTCATGTTGAAATTTAACTACCATTGTAACAGTATTAAGAGGTAGGTCTCTTAACAGAGGATGTAGCCCTTAGGGCTCTCCCATGCTTTTGGACTTCTAAGCCTCCATCCAGTTTGGCTCCACCATGAGCCAAACTATTGTTTATAAACAACTGAGTGTGTGGAGTTGTTACTGCAACAGAAAACCAACTAAGACAACATCACAGGATTGATCCAGGTAACTAACATTCTAAAGTGCGAGCATAAAAGGAAGAGCTGGCAATGATGACCAAGAAAGCAATCCAGTGAGATACCATCTGCAGAGCAGTGTACTAAAGCTGAGAGGAAAGTGTGTTAAAAGATGAGAAAGAGGGCCGGGGACTCAGCTCAATGGTGCCACCGCCTGCTTCGCAAGTGCAAGGTCCCAAATTCAATCCTGGGTACAAAAAAAAAGGTGAGAAAGATCAAATGCTTAGGATGCAGCCAGGAGGTCAAGAAAGATCAGACGAGTGTCAATTGGATCGAGAACATGAAAGTCTTAAGTGAGCATAAGAAAAATTTTAGTGGTGAAGTAGGAGCAGAAGCGTTACTGGAATGAGTATGACTATACAGTGGTACCTTGGCTCGTGGACACTTTTGTTTGCAAACAATTTGGTTTGTAAACAGAAGTGTTTGGCAAAATTTCGTTTTTGTTTCCAAACTCTGCATCACATGGAAAACACAACCACAACCGTTTTCCCTACACAAACACAAACATAGCCTCTTTTCCAAAATTGTAGAACAAATTAATTTGTAAAGCAAGGTACCACTGTATTCAACTCTTTCAAGTTCTATTATAAAAAGTAAGCAGCACTAAAAATGAAACCATCTCAATTCTTACTGAGTAAACAATCAGCCTTCTCAGTCTCTGAAGTGTATTTTTTCTAAAACTAAAACTGAATGTGTCCCTACTCATTTAAAAAAATCTTTCTGACTCCCTGTTGCCTTTAGAATGAAATTCAGAGCTTGGTGGTAATGCATGGATTAATATTCTGGCTCTAAAGCACCTCTCCTACCTCAGAGCTCTTGTATGTAAACTCCCAATTTCTCAAGTTCTTTCAAATGCCCATGTACCATGCTGGTCAGAGCCTCCCACCTCTCTACCAAGTAAGGTTACATTTACACTGTATAACTCAGGTTAAACATCATCCTCATCAGTATGGTACCAAGCATTTATGTATCATTCTCATCAGGTTTTCAACCAGAAAACTAGACCATAGCCATGACTTCTGCTCTACACAGTCATATCTCCTCATCCCTCCTATCTACTCAACCACCAAATCCCATAAAACTTTCATCTGTCCTCTCTATACCCCACTCCAGTGCTCTAGTGCTCCCTTCCCCTTCTCTTCTTCCCTACCTTTCTCTCTCTCACACAGGTCTCCACATTCCATCTCTTTCAATTTATTTTCCAAACAGAATCCAGAACAAACCTTTTAAAATAAAGCTGATTGGGCCAGGGATTCAGCTCAGTGGTTCCGCCGCCTGCCTTGCAAGCACAAGGACCCAAGTTCGATCCCCAGTACCAAGAAATAAATGAATAAATAAATAAAACAAAACAAAGCTGATCATATTCTTCCAAGGGTATGAAAAAAATACTTGCAATGACTTCCCACTGTTCTTAAAGACAAAAATTCTTATTTATCTGATAAAGCCCTGACAACTTCTTCATTCTGGTTCTCTGGGTCTCTCCTAGTACTGTTTTTTCTGACCATCTTACCCTTTCAGCTCCTGAAACTCACTGAGTTCCTACACCTATTCCCTGCACCTGCACCCCCTTCACTTCATTAACACTTTGCACCCAAATTCAAATGTCATTTCTTCAGGAAATAACCACTGACCAGCAAGCTGACCTAATTCTTAAGATACTCTGATTCTTCATAGCACTCGCAGCCACTCCTAGTCGTGTTGTGTGCAGCATCATAGATCGTCACCCACCTTTGACAGCTCCCTGATGAAGATGATTATGTCTGTTTTATGCTCCAGTCAAACTGAGGATCTGGCACTCAAAATATTTACCGAATAAACAGATGAAAACCTTCATAATTTGACCTCTGGGCCCTGAGCAGAATAGAAGCCATCAAAGGAAGAGTAAATGTTGCCAGCTTCTCTTCAAATAACTTTACCAATTTCAAGTACTCTTCTACCAACTTCTAAAAACCATAAAGAGAGTAGCTCCCTGATTCCTAATATTATAACCCCAAGAGTTAGCCCTTTACTTCAAATATTTCAACTGATACATTATTTTTTTTAAATGAAAAAAAGGTTAAGAGTTATTTTGGTTCTAAATATAAGCCAGTTCTTTAGATTTATATAGCTTGGCCTACTACTGAACATCTAGGGTTAAATATTCTTGCGCACAATTAGAAATTTGGCATATGTGGAAAAGGAGAGCCTATGGCATTTTCTTTGTATTCAAATTAAGCTCAGCAAAATCAGGTTAACTCATTAATGGTACAAAATCTGGACGGTATTTTTTAAAATACTAAACACCAATCAACTTTATTAACATGATCATTACATTGTCCAATCTTTTAGTTCCTAGAGGAATATATACCAACTTCTTAAAGTAGGTGAAAGTAAACTTTCTTTAATAAATATATATACCTAAGATCCTAGAGAGCTACCCCCAAAGATTATTGGTTAAAAGACTTATCCAAAATATTTTTAAAAGCTTTCCTATTAATCCACATATTATGGACTTTCCCTTTCACTTAAAGGACAAGAGGTACACTTGTGCAAGTGAAAATAAACTATGCCAAAAAGGACACATGAATACATCCTCTAAGGATCTAAGGAGTAGCTCACAAAAAAATACCTTTACTGAAAATGTATATCCTTGAATAAAAAATACGTGTATTAGTCTTCTCAGGGCATATATTATAGTGTACAACTTTATTTGCTTTTCTTCTGTCTTCTTATATTCAGATACAACCAATTAATAAGTACTAGTATCTACAACACTGAAAGCAGTTTCTGACTCTATATAAAACAAATGAAGGACAAATAAGAATCTCTGTACTTTTTTCAACTTTTCTGTAAGTTCGAAATGATCACACAATGAACATTTAAAGCATTTTTAAGTTTTCTAAAATTAAAACAATTTTAAGTGTTTTTAATTTAAAAAGGGTACCCTAGGAGTTGAGGATATAACTTAGTGGTCAAGCAGTTGCCTAGCACATGCAAGGTCCTGGTTTAATTGAGTTCAATCCCTAGCTCTAGGGAAAAAAAGAAAATTTTTTCTTAATCTTAGAATATTTTAAAAGATCATAATGACTGCAGGAGTCTGACCACAACCATTCTAGGCTGACGAGAGACCATTTTAAACCTCTTTCATCCAGCTACGCTTTTATACTGCTAACAATGTATATTCATGGGTTAATAAGGCCTAGTAAGCACCGCTACTTCCCATAACTCCCATCACTCCTCAGCCCTGCTCTCGACAAACAACCACCGTTCCCTCTACTTTCTCAAGCCCTGTCCCTGGAAGGTAGCCACACTCCTTTTCACTTAACTTTCCCCCCAGAAAACCTCATTTTGACCTTTTCCTTTCCCAGCCCGCACTTTACGCTCATGACCTCACAGGCTCTCCCAGAGTTACCAGTCTGGTCTAAGCGTGAGGGTAGTCCTTCTCAGGTTTGCTCTGAAATCTGTCCTTTGTTTTTTCCTCCTTTTTTTCTAAATGACAGTTTACATCTTGCGTTTTAAATCTGAGTCTAACAGAGACCAGAATTCAATCCACAGTTTCTGGCCACAAGGTTATTTTTATAACCTTTTCTTCCTACCTGACATGCTCAATTGCAAGTGCTGTCTGGTCAAACACTCCAGAATCATCAAACACAACCCACAACTCCTGCAGGGGCAACTGGTATTCCTTCAGGTCGAGGAGCTCTTTCATACATTCCAAGGTGAAAGTGTTCACTTCAGATTCACAAGCATATGGCTCAGCAAGCTTCACCGCTGCCTTCAAGGCTGAAAAGTCCACATCTGTAACCTGAAATGTAAAATAATGTGACTCTGCTTAACACACAGAAATCAAAATTAAGAAACATATGAAACACTACTGATAGCCTAATTTTTCTTAAGCATGAAATGTGGACAGGGAGCCTTTTTCCATAATATAAAGGATATAAGACAGGCCTGATTCTTACCCTGATGCCACTTATATTGTAAGTAGGAAGAAAATAAACAAGATGATGGTGAGGAGTATGCAATAGAGAAAAACTAGCAAGTGTGGTGATCTGGGTTTGCTGGTACAGCCAGAGGAATTCACCTCTGAGCTGAGAATAATGAAGAGGAAGCAGCCATGTATGAGCAAAGGTACAAAAGTCCCTGTGGCAGAGTCAAACTCTGACAGCTGGAGAAATAAAAAGGTAGTGCTTCTTACTGGTACCAAAGGGAATCTGAAGAGGGACAGACAGGGATAGTAAGGGATGAGGAGGGAGAGGCAGGGAGACCAGGACGTGAACAACACAGGAAGGTAAGGTCATGATACACAGTATATTAACCATGGTTATTCTCCAATTATTTTGTTATGAAACTTTATTTTTCATATTGTTTTTCTGCCCCACCCCCCGTACTGGGGATCAAACTCAGGACCTTGTGCTTGCTAAGCAGGCACTGTGCCACTGAGCTAAATCCCCAGTCTCTATATTTTCTTTATTAATATCTACTTGAATTATATTAAATTTGTTTTTATAAAAAAAATTTTTTTAACTATGTGGAGGATCTCAGATTTTACCTGTTCTCTAGCAGTGAGAAACCAAAACCAGCATTCAGCCCTGGGTAAATGCAACCTATTAGATGTTTTAAGAGAGAAATACTATTCTTTCAAAACAATGACTTTGATTGCTTTTAGAAAATTAAGACCATGAAGAAGAGGGGCACTATCATAACCAAATTAATAAATCCAAACTAAAGATACTGGCATAATCCAAAACTGAAAAATTCACAAGGAACAGCTGCAACCCATTGCTTTGTACATAAGCACTGCAATATGTAATTTTTTTTCTAAAGGAGTCACAGCAACAATTTATATTCACATTCCCTGGTTTAACCTTTAGTTTAGACTTTTGGGATCTAGTTAACAACACTAAGAAAAATCCACAGCTATAATTAGCCTGCAAATTTTTAAGGCCTCATCAGTTGAAAAATAAAGATTATTTATACTTCCTACCAAGGGACACATGATCAGATTGACCACATACCTACATATTTATTAGATTAATAAAAATGAACTAGTTTTTAAATGCCTATTTGGTTTGAGCTATTTAATAAGTAAAACTGGAAACTCTGCTGATTCCTTAATCAGGTCACCTTTCCTGTGTGTGGTACTGGGAACTGAACCTAGGACTTTCACTGACCTACATCTCCAGCCCTTTTTGATTTTTTTTCTTCTTTCTTTCTTTTGGTACCAGGGATTGAACTCGGGTCCTTGCACTTACAAGGCAGGTGGCAGAACCACTGAGCTAAATCCCCAGCCCCCCTTTATTATTTTGAAACAGTCACTAAAGTTACTAAATTGCCCAGACTGGGCTTAAATTTGCAATCCTCATGCCTCAGCCTCCCAGAGCTGGGATTACAGCCATCCATCACTGGGACCAGCTTAGGCCTCCTTATTTTTCAAATGGTCTCAAATACTTCCTTTACCTCTGAGGCTTTTTTTTTTCCCCTGTGATACTGGACCTCAAACTCAGGCCCTTCCTTGTGTTTGCAAGGCAGGCAGCAGAACCACTGAGCTCAATCCCCGGCCCCTATCTCTTAGGTTTATAATCCATCTCCCTTGTCAAAGGATGCTGAAACTTAAACCACCTTAATTTCTTGTAGCTCCGCCTTCAGCTGACTTTAAATTTTCAGAACATTTCATACAATGTGGCAATGGAAGGGGTAAAACATGCTATTTTAATCAGCTCATAAACCTTACAAATCAGTAGTCTGGCTGAAACAGTCCAAAATAACTATAGCAGAACACAAATATCTTAATTAAAAGAATTAAATTTACCTCAACCAACACCTCAAATACATTCGTGCGCCAGATTGCCTGCCATCCAGATGGTTCAAGGACCTTCTCTAAGAACTCAGCTGTGAATTCCCTTACTTCTGAGGCCTTGCAGTCAGCTGCAAACAAATTAAACACAGTAACAATTGAGAATGCATAAAGCAGAGAAGTTAAAAAACTCATTTCAAACCGGGCGTGGTGTCGCACACCTGTAATCTCAGCACCCAGGAGGCTGAGGCAGGAGGATCACTGTGAGTTCTAGACCAGCCTGGGCTACATAGTGAGTTCCAGGTCTCAAAAAACAAAAACAAACAAACAACAACAAAAAAAACCCATTTAAATCCATGTTCTCAAAACCAACAACTAGAAATCTGAGGACTAAGACAATCTACTTGTAAAATAAAATGATAAAAGAAACAAAAAAGAACCTACTTACCTAAAATGTAATCTTGATAGGCTCTGAACCGTTCATAGAACAAAAGTTGACTTGTTTGGAAAATTTCTGGGAAAGGAGACTTTCCTTCTGCCACAAAACTCTGTAAGCTATCACCTGGCTTATTGTGAGAGCCACAATCACTTGATGAATCTTCAACTTGGAACAAACCTAAAGAACAACAAAAACATCAAATATATCCAGTGTTTCTAGTAGGCTTCTATTTTCACATCCTTGCTTACAAATTCCAAACAAACTACAAACAAGTATTGTCAGAAAAAAACTAGTTTTCAAAATTTTAAAAGTACAGGCCACCCCGGGGATTTAGCTCAGTGGTACCAGCCTGCCTTGCCAGCACAGGGTCCTGAGTTTGATCTCTGGTACCATAAAAAACAAACAAACAAACAAACAAACAAAAAACACCAGGCATGGTAACACAGGCCTATCATCCCAGCACTCTGGAGCCTAAGACAGGAGGATTGCTGGAAGTTCAAGTCCTGCCTAAACTACATAGTGAGATCCTGTCTCAAAAAACAAACAAACCAAAACCCCACAACTTAAAAATACCTCTAAAGCCAAATTCAACTTCAAACAGTAAGAACTCAAGATTTTCAGCAGCTAGGTTTTTATTTTTCTGTGAGATTTGAGGGGGAAAGCAGAAGCTACCCAAGTTTTCCTTCAAAGGATACCATTACGACTTTTATTTTTACTACAGTTAGTAAGTTGTAATGGTCAAATATCCTGGTTTTTTTTTTTCCCCAAAACAATTCCATTAAACTACATTAAAAGATGGAACTGATTTCCTATATTCCCTTTCACATGATTGATACCTCCTCTCACTCTCTACAGTATGAGTCTGTCTGGCTCCTCAAATAAGGGTGAGAGATTATTAACAATGCACAAGGATTATCACTAAAGCTACCAGGTTCCTCCTCACTAATTTCAGTGGCTTCATTTAAGGGAAGAAAAATCAAAAGTGCAAAATCATCTTACATTTGGGTTGCAATTATTTCATAAGGCATGACTTGGCCTTTGTGCAAAAAGATGTTTTTTAATAGACAAAATGACTAATAATAAAGATGTCAGGGTTAGCATTTAGACTGGCAGGGTAGTTTCCAAAGGTGGTTTCAGGGAAGGTATATGAGACTGTTGTTCACAGCAGTCTCTCCCTGGCCCATTTCGTTTTTCCTTCCCATTATTTGCCTCTAGTCAGGCCACTGAATTACTTGACCCCACAGATAACCAAAGAATACTCAAGGATCTACTGCTCACAAAAACCAATGAACATAATAACCCTTAGAGGACTGCAAAATGAAAAAAAAACAACAAAAAAAAAACTGGGCAAGGTGGAGTATACCTGTAATCCCAGAACTCAGGAGCCTTAAACTGGAGGATCAAGAGGCTGAGGCAGCCTGAGCTACATACCAAGACCATCTCAAAACACAAACCAAAAAAAAAAAAAAACTCTTAGAGGCCGTCGATAACTAATAATCTCTCTATGCCTGTTTCCTTGCTTGTCTATAAAGAGAAAATTAAAACAGTATGCCTACTTCCATTAAGACAAATCATTTACAACAGTACCCATTACATAGTAATTTGTTAAAGAAGCAGCATCTTACTTCAACACTATTCTTTACAGTCATTTCGTCTTTGTTTTCCCAGCTTTACTGAGATAGAACAAATAAAAATTGTACATATTTAAAGTACACGTGTTTTGATAGATGCATACATTAGGAAATGATACAACACAGCTGTTATTTCCATCACCTTTTTTGTAGTGGGAACACTTATGCTCTACTCTCTAATCAATTCCAAAACTTACTCATCTCACGCTAAAACTTTGTGCCCTTTGACCAACATCTCATTTCCCTCACCCACTGGTAACCATTATTTATGATCAGTTTCACCAAGTTCACCTTTTTCAGATTTCACATAAAAATTATATCATTTAGTATTTTGTCACTCTTTTTTTTTTTTTTTCTGGTACCGGGGATCGAACTCGGGTCCTTGTGCTTGCAAGGCAGGCGCTGAACCACTGAGCTAAATCCCCAGCCCAGTATTTTGTCATTCTTTGTGGCCACTTCAAAAATATAATTCTTCACACATTATTTCACTTCAGCTTCATCACAAATAAAACCAAATGGGAAAGCTGAATCTTCACAAGGTAGGTTAGTAACAGAATTGAGTCACTGTTTTCTCACTTCGTCAGAACTCTTTCCACTACATAATACAACCAAAAGTGTTAAAGAACATAAACCAACTTCAAATGTCAGGGAAAAAAAATTAATGATGCCAGGCATGGTAGGGCACACCAGTAATCTCAGCACTTGGGAGTCTGATGCAGGAGGATCACTGCCGAATCCAAGGCCAGCGTGGGCTAAAATAATGAGTTCAAGAACAGCCTGAACTATAAAGACTGACAAAAAATTAAATTAAATTAAAGGGGCCTGGGGAATTGGCTAAGAGGCGCACCACAAAATCATGATAATGGTTATGATGACGATGATGGAATCTCCGTGAAGCGGTAAGAATGAACTGATAATTAGACCTGCGTTCTATTTCTGGATAGGGGACAGGTCATCTGCCCCCGGTGTTCAAAAGAGCTATTTAGGTCAAGGATCAAGCTTGCTTCTTTTTTGAAAAAGGGAAGTGAGGGTCCTTGATCTCCTCTGAGGCTCATTTGAAAAGACGAGTCTTCGCTCAACAGATAAGCACAAAATTCGTTTTAACTCGTCCAGGTAGGGAAGTCCTGGCCAGCCCCAACTCCTTCCCTTCTCGAGGAAGCTGAGACCATAGAAGGTTGAGAGGGTGGAAGGGGGGTCGACCCGGATACCACCGTCTGGCGTGGCACAAATCTCCCGCCGTCCTGGTCAATTGAATCCGGGAGGTCTGGGACCCAGCATCCTACCGCAATGCCCCGGGCCGCCACAAAGGCGGCCTGCCCTCCAAGGCAAGTGCTCACCTTTCTCCAGAGGCGCCAGCTCCTTCTCGGCTGCCTCGTCAGGGTGCCCCGACGCCATCGACTCTGACATCAGACCGCTACCCACCCGCATCCCGTCCGCCATTTCAAATTTCCGCGGAGAAAGCCCTTCTGATTGGACGGTGGGGCCGACGCGTTCCCGGAGCCCCGCCCACACGCACGCCGGGGACCACGCCTCGGCGCCCGCTGCTGGCCTGGCGGAGCTTGTTCTCCGGGCTCCGAGTCTGTCTTTCCGAGACCAACTCGACGCTGAATGGGGATATCATTTGGGGGTGATTTCCGAAGGAACGAACAAGCCACGCGTAGAAATAGTTCTTAGGGGAAAAGACGCTGGATTGAGAGCCAAAAAATATAGTCTTTAGATGTTTGACTTGTTTAAGCCATTGTTAATAATATTACCCAGAGCAAGAGCCTTCACCCCTCACAAGCTGACTGTAGGATGAACTGTTACCTGACCCTTCACCACCAAGGATGAGTGCATCTTTCTCAACACACACACACACACACACACACACACACACACACACACTGAGGGTATTTTCAAAGAATGTTGTCATATTCAGTAAGTAAAAGTATTGTTTAAAGGAAACTTATTTAATCTTCAAAAATCATTCAATGAGGCAGGTAATATTATTACATTTATTCACTCTCCTTCCTACCACTAGGTCTTCACAGTGTGGTCACAGATGGGTTCTAAACTGCGCTCCCCTCCCCACCAAAAACCTCCCCCAAGTCATATTGCAACCTTGAGAATTTGCCCCTCTTACTTATCTTGCCCCAAACTGCTTGGTAGTTATTTCCCTCTCCTCCTTTCTGGCATGCCTCTGAGACCTTTCCTTCCAGCTCCTCCTCCCTTTCTTTTCACAGCCTTTAGTATGGACTCTGCTGATCACCCACCATGGGCTTCTTTCCTCATTTAGACTCTAGGTCCTTGCTATCCTGGTCCTTTTTCTCATTCTCTGACTATTCCTTCCTGCACTCTTTCCTCTTTCGTTGGCTAACTCAAACCCAGGTGATTCCAAGGAGCTATCATGTGCAGTCTTTGGCAATCAGTGACTATGCAATAAAAGTATCAATTAACAAGCTAGTATCAATTATAGAAAATACTAAAAGTAAAACAAAATTCAGCAATGTTGAGTTAGGAGATTAGGGCATGGCACAAACTGGCTGGTGAAATACGTATGACCTGTTAACTACAAGAACCTGGACACATTCGCAGAACAGTTCCCAAACCCCTACACACGGACTTCTCTTTGAGAACTCCAGCAGGTTTTCAATGGGATGGCCTAGATCTGACATCAGCCTAAGCACTGCCTCTTAAGACCTGTATGGAGAAGTTCTCACAGGTTACCTCAAGATGTGGACAGTGTAAAGGACAGACCAAGCTACGAAGAGCTTGCTATCATAATTTTCCATGATCCTCCCACCGTGTTTCCCAGACACAGCATGCACTTTTGTCTCTGCTTTCACTCTCTTTTTCTAGTTACTTGGCCTAGCTTGCTCTGCAAAGCCAGTTTCTCTCCTACTCTTCACTTATACTTTTTCCAATAAACTTTGCCACTGCTCTTTGCTCATTCCATTCAATTCATTGTTGGAGATAAGAACAACCTGGAATCCAACTCCAGGAGAGGCGAATAACCCCAAGCCCAATAACATTGAGGTGGTAAGCCACTATAGCACCGGATAACAGTGTGACACAGAATGAGGACCGAGAAGGCCAAATGTAGATGTTATGTGAAAACCCTCGATATTAAACTGTTAGCAACCAGGTTTTTTAAAAATGTAAATACTATAAAACCAGAAAATCTTATTTCCTAGGCTGAACTGGCCCATGGCCCACTAGACTGCAATTTTGTTCTAAGCCCTCACTACTCAAAAGTCTAATCCAGGGGCCGGAAGTTTGTTAGAAATACAGAGTTATCCCTACTCCCTCCACTCATCCAGATCTGCTGGATGAGAATCTGTTTTCAGCGAGATCACTAGTCCCAAGTGACATCATTTACATTTGACTCAGAGGCCTTCAAACCTGACCTTTCTCAGCCTGTTTCTGTTTGTACATTCCCAGTAAAAGTTGGAGCTGGGATTCTTTTCTCTGGTTCCAATTCACAGTACTACAAAGCCAAGCCTAAGTGCAACCCTTCTCTGAACTCACCTCTTGTCTCATCCCATCTCCCCCGCCACATATTCTACTTAGGCCGCCGCAGCCCCACCTCCCTAACACCAAAGTTAATTGCTCCCTTTTTGTCGCTCCTGGCACAGAGGTCTCAAATTTCTAAACCCAGGGCCTGGGATTTAGCTCAGTGGCACCGCACCTGCCTCCCAAGTGCAATGTCCTGAGTTCGATCCCTAGCAAAAAAAAAAAAAAAAAAAATT